AACAAGCAATAAATAATATAAAATAATAAAATATTAAATAATATAATAAGCGAAAAAACTATATATCATATCACACATGTCATCACTCACGTGATTAGCTTATAGGGCACATATGACTAACAATTTCCTACTTAACCTAAAACAAATCACCTATGTGTCTGATTCCTATCAAACCCCTATGACACTAAAAAATAATATGAGACAATGGCTTTATCAATGGATCTATGATATTATCTTCGGATGAAACTCTTTCCGCTGCTACATCTTCTCGAGTCATGATCTTTTTGATCAGGTGGAATCTCCATAGAATGTGCTTAGACTTCTAATGAGACCTGGGTTCATTGGCTTGAGCAATTGCCCCGTTGTTGTCACAATATAACGGAATTGACTCTTCGATGCTCGGCACGACTCCCAAATCTATGATGAACTTCTTCGTCCAAACTTTCTCTTTTGCTATCTCTACTGTAGTAATGTACTCGACCTATGTGGTTGAGTCAGTAATAGTATCTTGCTTGGAACTCTTCCAATATACTGCTCCTTCATTCAGGGTGAACATATACCCCGAATTAGACTGACTATCATCGACATCAGATTGAAAGCTCGAGTCTGTGTACCCTTCAACCTTGAGGCTACTACCTCTATATACTTGTATTGTTAGTTCTTCTCAAGTACTTAAAGGATACACTTTATTGTTTTTCAATGCTCCAAGACTAGATCCGCCTGATACCAGCTCGTGATACTCAGAGCATACGCTATATTAGGGATGGTACATGACATAACATATATGAAAGACTATATCGTTGAGGCATAGGGTATCCTATCCATGTTCGCCCTTTTTTTAGAAGTCTTTGAGGACATACTCCTAGAAAATGATATCTCATGTCTCATTGGTATGAGACATCTCTTCGAATTTTTCATGCTAAAATTTTTAACAATAATGTCTATGTACCTGAATTGGGACAGTGGACCTCCCTCTCAACTTGGGAGTCTTGCCATCGTATTTGCTTTAAGGAGAGTTTCTATTGAGTTTGCAAGTAACTTAATACGATGTTGTCCATCTTTTTAGCATAAATTATGTTCCGAAAAGGTAGTACTGCTAAACTCGTAGATAGTGGACTACTATTGTCATCTCCTTCTTATGCATCAGATACCATCACTCGGTCTCGTCGAGCTTGCAGCTCTTGTAGGCCATCAAGTGACCCTCTTAGATAAGTATTCCTATAATAGCGAAGTTTAAAACATTTGTGTTGACTATAAAGGTTTCCTATAGTTCGATAATTTGAGTACTATTCTCCTAACATAGAAACCTTTAGGTCTTAGAATATTGCTTCATATTTGTTTGACCATCGATAAGGATACTCCTTCAGCAACTCTATCAATGAAGCTACACACTTAGAGTACCCAACTATTAAGTGCTGATAATAGTTGATGAAACCAATGAGGGATCTAAGCTTTGACACCTTCTTTCGTGTTTGCGACTCTACCATAACTTGCACATTGATTTGTCCGTCCGAATTGAACCTTTGCCAATTCAATGTCCTAAGAATCAAATCTTCGTCGGAGCAAAGTGACACTTCTCCCTTTTCATAAATAAAGTGTTCTCATTGAGAACCTTAAAAATTGTTCAAAGATAGTTGACATGTTTCTCGAATGTTTGGCTGTAAACGATTATATCATCTAAGTAGGTGATTATAAATTTGTCTAGAAACTCTTTGAATACTTTATTCATGAGAGTGCAAAAATGTAGTTGGAGTGTTAGATAAACCAAAAGGAACCACCAAAAACTCAAATGCTCCATAAACATAGGTAGACTTCACTTCATCTCTATTAGCAATGCAAACCTACCAGTAACTCGACCGAAGGTCATGTTTAGAGAAATAATTTGCTTTGCTCAATTGATCGAATATGTTTATTACGAGTAGGATGAGATATTTGTTCTTCACTGTTACCTTGTTTAGGCCCTAATAGTTGACGCATAATCAGAGAGTTCTATCTTGTTTCTTTTGGAAAAGGGCTACAGCTTCGAATGATACTTTAGAACTATAAATAAGACCACCGCCTAATAGTTTATCTAATAACTTCTTGAGCTCTGCCAACTCTTGAGGGGTCATGTGATATGATGGTCTTGTTAGAAGCTTCACTCCCTACTTCAGCTTGATGCGATAATCTATGCCTCTGCATGGCAACAGAGTTTTTAGTAACTCGAGTAGCATAAGATCAATAAACTCCTTCAAGACGTTTGTTGCTACAGTAAGTTCATGAGTGGCCTCCACATCAAGTGGTTCTAGCTTTATTATGACCATAAAAGTTAGTTCTCCCTTTGACACCCCCTTCTTTAATTGTAAAGCATATATTTGTCCCTTTAACACCCCTTCTTCAGTTGTAAAGCATATATTTGTCGTAGGTCCTTAGTTCCTCATTAAGAAATAGGAACCACAGTGAAGTCGTCACCACCAATTAGCATAGAGAGTTTAGGAACAACATTAGCATCAACTTCATTGTGTACATGAACTCTATTTCGATGATCACTTGGAAGTCATCCAATAGCACCACAATCATGTTTGTGCTTCTACTCTATGTCTTAATATTGATAGGGACCCCCTTTGTCAATTCGGATATCTACTTAGCCTTTGAGTTCATAGCTTTTGTCTGACTAAAGTTCTTCTCTAAGTTCAGCCTAAGTTGCCTTACTTTTCGATCGACAATGAGATTGTAGGCAATGCCCGTGTGTACCATCGCATAGGTTATTTGGCCATTTAGCTTGATATCGACATATATCAGCTTATTACTCCATACTTTTTGTGGCTTCGTCTTCATGTTCTCCCCCACTTGATCCTACAATGCATTTATTCTTGTGACTTGTTATTATCACTACTAGATTCTGAACTACTCAAATTAAGGGCGATGACCTTGCCCTTGTTTGATTTAGGAGAATGGATTGATATGGTTAATGCATTGAGTGGGCACTCCCTCACCATGTATAGTCCTCCACAAAAGAAGGATCTGCCAAGTTTTAGGGCATTGCCTTTTAAACTTAGTCCTTTGTGGGAACTCTTTTTCTTTTGCTTGCTTTCGGATTCCTTTCTTAGGGAATATTTGGATGGACGATTTCCTAAAGATTATTTCTTCTTTCTCGAGTCCTCTAAGGAAACAAAGTCGATGAGCCTTTCTGTAGCTGTGATTGTCTCAATCACATCAGTGACATTCCTTTGATGTAGTTCCTATTGTGCCCATGGCTTCTAGTGATTGAGGAAGCTAAATAGCTTATTCTTCTCAAACATGTCTTGTATGTTCAGCATGAGTATAGAAAATTACTTTACGTAGTCCTGAATGAAAGTACTTTGGCGAAGTTATCTTAGCTTCATTCTTGCGATGAACTCCATATTATCGAGTATGAAGTGAGTTCTCAACTCTTGCTTCAAATCCTCCCATGTGTCCACTCAACACCGCCCTTGTTGAATCTCTTTCCAATATATTTGCTACTAAACTTTTGCATCCTTATTTAAATATATGATTGCTATCAAAACTTTAGTTTCTTCAGAATCAGGCCTCGTAGCTTGGAAGTATTATTTTATATTGAATAGAAAATTCTTGAGCTCCTTCGCATCCTTGGAACTTTCATAGTAATGCGACTCGGGTGCCCTCAAGTTTTGTGATAGAGCAACACGGGTGTTGCTTCCTCTAGTATTAAGATCTATTGCGAGCAATGTAATCCTAGACGTGAGTTTCACTATGACTTTATGTAGGTGTTGCATAGAGTCTTTAGTGTCTTCGGTTAATTGATCAATTAGAGATTTGACCTTATTGGTCTAAGATTATGCCTCTTCTTGTAAGTTCTTTATCCCAAGAAGCCTTCGTTAGCCTTGGTAGAGTTCCTCTAGATTCACTTTAAGAACGTCAAGATGGGTTTCCACAATTGTAAGCCTCTCCTTATGGCTTCTTTTCTCGGTTGGTGCTCCAGATTGCACTTCCTCCGCTCATGGAGAATAGCCAACTTCTTGCTCGTCTTATTCGCTGTCACTCCTCTTGAGCAACTCCAATAGCTTGAAGGTGAGTTTGCACTTGTAGGTCTAGCTTATCTCGTCTTTCTCGATTCATCACGATGCTTCGCCATGACGAGATCGTGAAACTTTCACAGTTTGTTTGAATTGCTTGCCCGCTTTGATACCATAATATCACGAACATAACTATAATTGCTTAAGTCATAAGGCACTCTTGTATTATTCATCCACAAATAGTTAGCATAGTTACAACTTTGTGTAAATTCGTAAGGACTTGTAAAAGAGCAAATAGATTAGCTCGAAAGCGAATGGTGGATAAGTCCCGACGTCTCACAAACAACTACTTACTTGGTATTAGGCGTGTTGGCAAGGTCCCGTAGGCTTAACGTACAAACTTGTGAATCCAATCAACGTCTAACACTATCTCAAATCCCCATCCCACCAAATACCACCCTCGAGATTCCAAGGTACTAAGATGACTAATATTTTTCTTCACACCGTAGCCTATAAAAAATAGTCTGTGGCATGTAAAAACTAAGTCATTTTGGGATAATTTTGCTTATTCTGATGAACAATCTATTTTCACTTATAGTTTTTGAAGCAAAAACGCACAAAAAACAAGACAAAACACGTTGCGCGCGCGCGCACACACACACATATACATATATACATACGTACATGTGTATATATACATATATACATGTGTATATATACATATATACATGTGTATATATACATATATACATGTGTATATATACATATATACATGTGTATATATACATATATATATATATATATATACATATATATATATATATATATATATATATAAACAAACAAAAGCAATAAACAATCAATTGACGGGTGTAAACATTAAATCTTATAAATATATTTACTAGTAAGATTGAGATATTCTGTAAAATTACCAAAAATTCCAAAAGAAAAACATCAGCAAAAATTCCAGAGGGAAATTTGTTATGTAGGTTTCCAACATAACCATATCCGACACATCCAAAACATTTGATGCTTCACAAATTCACATACAATACACAAGACCAAAACCCACCTTGTGTGCTTACTTACCAAAACCCACCAATATGTTTGCTGCCATGGCTATTTTGTCATATGAAAACAACAATACATTCTGGAGATTAAGTGCCAATATTAACATGATTTTTACATTTTTGACAAACCAACAAAGCTTAATACTTAAATGAGTAATGACAACTCCAGACATGAGGCATTTTTTTCACACGAGTACAACTGCACCTAAACGACCCAGAACCAAGAAACTATTGAACCAGCAGCCAGGCCAATCACTAGGAACAGAACGATAACGATCCCTGCAGTCTCGGAGTGCTGTATCGGCACAGATTTGGGTGCAAGAATCATCAGCACTGAAGTAAGATACCCATTTGTTAGTCCCAAAAGGCATGTCAGAATTGTGACTGGGATTTCTGTGCGGAAGAATTTGGGGCCATGCAAGCAACCAAGGAAAAGCGGATAAAAGAGAAGCCTTCCGACACAGCAAGCAACTGCAACATTAGTATTCTCAAGAAGATAGACTGCGGTCAGAGACTTGCCGACCAGATCAAATACATTGTATCCAGCAATGAGAATAATTGGATACCAATCCTTGAGGACATCAGAGTGAACATCCTCGGTGATGTATCCCGGGAATATGGAAAGTGTAACAATGTAGATGAGGGAGATCCCAAAACCAGACCATTTGATCCGTCCCACGATGTGCCACAAGGTTGACCTCCATGCGGATCCACTCTTGGGACCCTTCTCATTCCTCTCTTCTTTCATAGCCTGTACTTTGATATCTTTGTAGTATTGGACAACAGGAAGCCTGTCTGCTATATTATAGCAAACAATACAGATGGCCATCACCACAATGCTGACGATGAAGTAAAGGTTTGCACTTTTTCTTAACCCACTATCATCTTGTGGATAAATGGCTTTGGTAATTACTCTCAAAGCTGACACGAGTACCCCTGTATAAAGCAGATTCATAGCATCAAAAGTTGGTTTCATATGCAAAAAGTCTCAAGATAAGGAAAATCCACACGATAATCTGTTTGATGAACTTACATATTCATGTAAACTTTGGAATACTAAGATTCACCACACAACACCACAATCACCACACTATGTCAACAACAGGAGGTCCCAAACATTTGCGGCCTGCTATATTAATCTTTTTCCACCATATGATTTAATACCACATAAAAAAAAATAAAACCATCATCTCCAACATCCAAAATGCTATCTTCAAGTTTATGAAGTGTCTGAGAGTTCTATGTCTCTGAAGACATTACTAAGAACAGATCCAGTTCTGGTTAGTTATGGCTTGCATCTGAGCTGACATCATAATTGGCTTGATTAAGCTGAATTGAGAGAAACCTCCATGGTAATCTGGATTCAAATGTTTTAGCAAATTTACTTTGGAAGGGCATTGAGTTAATACTCCATGCTTCTTCAAACCCATGCTTTTCCTTTTCCAATTTACTTTGGCAATGTTTTAGGCTTTTAGCCAATTTACTTGGGGGCTTAAGAATTAATTTCCTTCAAAATCCCTTTAGTGGATGGTGGAAGATTATTTGAATTTTGAGTCACTCGATTTTAAGGTGAAATTTTACTAACCAATTATAATTTTTTCAGATTTCTAGATCTATCCTATGATTTAAAGATTGCAATTGAAAATTCCTGAAAATAACTGTTACCTATATTTTAACCATCTTCATTCAATACCCGTCCCTGATGAAAGTTTGAACCAAAGCAAATATTAGCTCTTCAGGATAATTAAGTAATTATGGATTTAAAGAACAATTCAGACATCAAGGATGCATTAGCTACAGGGACAACTATTGAGGTTTAAAGTGCCCACAACTAAGAAGTATATGAAAAGGAAGGCGGCTAAGGAGAAAGAAAATCAGAGGTAGAAGGAAAATTAAACACAACAATAAGAAAAAGAAATCCACAAAACTGAGAAGTGAAATGAAAAGTACCACGTACACATAAGATAGAGCGAGAGAGAAAGAGCCATTGCTTCGACTAAAACATAAAAAAATTAAAAAATTAAAGTGCAAATAAAAAATTATAAGCATAAAGAATATTATGAGAGATAATAAGAAAATCAATAAAGATGGATATATGAAAACAAAAAAAAGCCGGAGAAGCATGCACAAAATGGTGCAATATAAAAAGAAAGTGTGGCATGATAATTAGATCTTTTCAGAAACTTTTGCTATATTGTAAATTATTCACATAGATAATAGTGTAAGGTAAAACCCAATAGGTACAGGACTTAGGGCTTCATTGAAGTCAAGTTCAGTCTCGTAAATTGAATCAAATTCAGTCTTATATTATCCTGGGTCTAATATAAGTCAGATGCTCAAAAAGGCCTTTGTATGTGAACAATAAATTAATGATTTATACTAGAAAAAAGTCCTAGATCTGACTTGCTCAATCTACAAGGGGTATCCTGGTTGGTTTGTTATCATATAATGGGTGTCATAGAGCTATACTTTATTTAGAAGGTCAGGTTAGGTATTGTTATTGAGGTACTCAGCTGGTATGACAGATAGTCTTGTATCACTTTTGGTTGGTGGAAAATCTCGGTAATCAAACAGCTATGTGCTATCTCATGATTCCTCTTCTTATTATCTGTGTAAAACTTATCAAATGTCTATTTGTCTGTTAAGTTTGTCGCTGTCCCTTCAGATTTAATAATTAGTGCAAAGACTGTCCTTTCCCTCCTTATTTAATCATCTATATTTTCTTCTTGCTTCCTGTGTTTCTTACAGAAGGCCATGCTTTCTAGATCCAAAAGGGCAGAAAGCAGTCAAATCTGAATCTAAGCCCATCTCTGTGGCCTTACAGACTGTTATCGATTATCACATATCCAGTCTCATGAAAAGCAAGTGTATGAAACAACATATTTTGGGCATTAAATGTGATATAAAGTCTATGAATTGTCATGCTTGTAATTATATTAGTTTTGTCTTGAAGATTGCTATGTGCAAGTCAAGCTTCAAACAAGGGTTGACAGAAAAACAAGGGATTCTGCTTAAATTCTTGTAAGGTCACATTTAACTAGACTTAGACCTGAACCAAACCTAATTCTTAAACATCATGGTTTCTCCAAAGTAAAACCTAAAATTTTTGGACAACCTGTACACAACAAAGTTTGATTCAAAATTTCATCTAACATAATGTATGAAAGGAACTCTACATTATTTTGATAAAATCTTTTATCTACCTAGAGTCTTAGACTTGACCTGGTTGATCTAAAATTTTCACCAAACATAAAAATTTAAATAAAATAAAACTAACCTGTACTTTCATGAAAAAGCAAGATGGAATAGCATGTCTGTCAGAACCAATCCAGTTTGAACAATCTGATGCTGACCTACACAGGATGCCACACCCAGTTTCTTATGGGTTGGATTAACTCCATTGGACTAAAAATTACTGCAACTACTTCATACAAGTTGCTTCAGACTGAACTATCCCTGGTTCACTTGACTCAGTTAGTCTTGAACTAAATTTAATCAACTCTGAGCCTAGACTAATGTGCTAAGAACAAGGAATGAGTAAATAACTCTTCAACCAAACAAAACATCCAGCTGTTTTAGGAGAGAGGTCAATCTTACTTGGTTGTGGATCATAATATATCCCATAGGTAGAGTTTAAATTCACTTTCTGGTGGGATTGTAGGATGGAAACCAATTAATATGTGATGATGCCCATGAAGAAAAAAGATGTGACTAATTATCACCGTGCAAAACTAAAATTAATTGCACAATTAAGATTCTACTTTCAGAAAAATTAATGCTTTGAAGCCAAGATACAGAGAAGAAGAGCAATTGAACAAAATCAGAAAGTAAAAGTCCATGTTGGAAAGCAAATTGAAAACAGTAAGTCATCAATTCCAACAAAATTGAATGTTGTTCTTGGTAGACAGATAAAATGCATTAAAAAATAAGGTAAATATAATATCTTTAGTTGTTGAAGAGTACTCTCCAGATAATTCTGTGTAATAAGATGCTGGGAGAGGAACTGACAAATTGACCAAAATATAGTTGGGTCACCAAATCTATACTAAATCCAAAAGTCATGAAGGCTACTAATATGCATGCTTTTACACTGACATAGCAGACTATAATTGAAGGCACTAGTCAATATAGTTAGAATTCACCTTAATACTACCAAGTCCAATAAACAGTTATAAAGTCAATGCGTAAGCACTTAGTACCTAGATAGCAATCAATTTCATTATTTATCCAGCTGGTCTTGACTTTGAAATAGAAAGAAACAAAGTTCTGCACTGGACTATCACAAGATATGCATTAATTCCAAAAACTGTTCCAATTGTAAAATGCACACAAAATTATTCCATTGAAGCAAAAGTCCACAAATATTAGCCAATAGGAACATAATACCTATATCAGCATTGAAGAATCATTAAGCTAAACCCTTATTTGTATTCTATACCACAGAGTCAACAAGTTTAAGTTGTGCTACACGCAACACTCTAAAAAATTAAAAACAACTAGTTATAGTCAGAATTTTCCAAAGTTCTCGTAGGCTTTACACATTGTTGTGAATGTACTTTATTAATTGAGCAACGTAAGATGCAAACGGTTATGCTAATTAAGTTTTTTATTCAATAATGAAGTTTTTATTCAATAATTGACTGTCATTGTCATCCAAAAACAATTATCATTTAAAGGTACTATCGGCCTGTGATTTGCAGTTTCTTTTTAAACGATATGCCTTGTGCCCTTTTCTCCCCTCTCTCATGACTATTAAAAGAGATTTCGAAGGTATTATCCATGTGATTCTCACTGAACTTTCTCATTCCTCAACCCACCGCATCCCATCATCCAGATCCGATTGATCTTTTGACTTTAATTAAAGAAAAAGAAGGGAAAAAAAAACTGTAGATCTGATAGAGAATCAATACCGGAAGCAGCAGTGCCGGCGACCACCGCCTGCATGTACCTCTCCGGAAGCTCTCCGGCAGATCCGATTACACCGCCCTGGACGAGGGCGTCGGCGATGCCGGAGAGGACCACGGCACCGACGGTGACGTCGTAGGAAGCGTAGAGGCCCCGTACGCCCCTGACGTAGGCGGCGTCCATGACGGGGACGATGAGGAGGGAGACGACAAAGAGGGCGAGGCCGGCATTGATGCGGAGGGGGGCGCTGGACAAGTGGGCCCATCCGACGATGACGAGGAGGAAGAGGAGGCAGGTGAGCATGTATGAGACGGAGAAGACACGATCGACGGGGGCATCCGGGTAGAGGTAGCTGAAGTAGTCGACGGCGGTGATGAAGGCGTTCCACGGAAGGAGGAACCCCGCCCCCAGCGTGAAGTATACCGCGTACGCTACGTGGAACACGTCCTTCGGGGCAGCCACCACCGCCTTCGAAGGCGACTCCTCATCGCCGGCCGCCGACACGAGGAGGCCCGTCCTCTCGTCCTCTCCGCTTCCTCCCATCCTCTCTCTCTGTCTGCCGACCAATTGTTGTGAGCGTTTGACCAACGACCGGATATGATATAAGGTCTGGGCGTGCAAGCGCTTTGAGATTCGGAAGTAGCACTTGATGTTGGTAGCCGAGTAGGGAGGCAAGGATCCCCTCCAAAATTCTGCATCGCCACCGTGTTGGTAACCGTCCATCATCGACATGACGGATGGAGCCCACATGAGCGAGGGTTTAGATCTTAAGTTAGACAGGCTCATTGGTAGCGCGGACGGTGGAGATATGAAAGGTGAGGACAACGGGGTAAGACACGTACGAATTGCAAGACTCCGATATGTCGTTCCGGTTGCAGAGGATCATTCGCCTCGTCATGGAATCTGACTCGGACACAGCCTTGCTTCCAAGGAAGGACAAGAATCGCAGGAGTTCAACTACCCCTCAACACGCACCAAATGTTGCTGCCCCGAACAACTTTTCATCGGACGTGGCTCCTTCCCGAGCCTCCTCCCCTGCGGGCTCCACGGATCAGGTTTCGTCAGGAGGAATTACTGGGTGACGTGACAGTGGGCCCGGCTGCTATCCGCTGGAGGAGGATTGTTGACGTGGTCCGAGTATCGGCCATTCGTACACTTGCGTTCTGCATCCATACAAAATATGTTGCTGCTAATCATGGTTTTTTTATGTGGTATTTATGAGCATGGTACAGAAAAGAAGAAAAATGACAACAACAAAAAAGAGACATTCAATAAAAACCTTCTCCAGAGGAGCAGTGTTTACCACAACAAATCTCCTATGGGGTGCTGTGATACCAAAACCCACATATAGTGAGCCAAAATTATCATATAAGCTTGAGTTGTAAACGCCACCAGAATGCTTAAAACCTTTTCCCTTCCTGGTTTATGATCACTGTATCACTGAACCATGGGTGAAGTTTAACTCTACAAATCACAAATGTCAAGCAAGCCAGCAGCTTCAATGCTGGGAAATAGAATCGTCCGTCTTCCGGTGATAGAATTTCTTCGAGAGTCATCACCACAAGCTTTACACAGATTTAAGAGAAAACAATGGAAGCACAGTGAAACTGGTACAGTGGTGTCATGTTATATACAAGCGATTTAGTTCAACCGGCATGCGGGAAGTGGCGCATTATCGCTGTTAACTAACATGGCATGTAATTGTTATTGCGTTAATTTACATACAACCATAGACTTCAAATCAGATTCTAAGAAACCGATGGCTGAGCCAGTGATAAATAAATAACTCATACACTAGCATGAAAGTTAACTCTTTTTATGTCACGGATATCTTTCTGGGGAAGCAGAACCTCTTGGAACAGAAAAAGAAGATCTTGGCATTAGAATCAGCTTGTAAGTTGGATCAGCTTTAGTTGCTGGAGACATGCACATACGACTGAGATGCCACAAAGATACTGCAGGACCAAGCAGTTGCTGTAAAGCACAAGATTTAGGTATGTTATTCTGGAAATACGGCAATTACATGTATAAACTGGCAAGTATATATGTAGTACAATTCTCGAAATAGGTCGTGGAAATGAGCAAATACCTCTACTCAAAAGACTGTCTGAACGTCTACCAGTTCGGTATCTACCATTTCAGCCTCCTTTGCCATTTTAGGATCGAATAGTGGTGTGTCAAGCTTGGGAGGGCTCTGGCCAATACAAAATATATTTCTTATTGGGAACATAAAACAAACAGTCTGATTTTCTTGACCACCAAGCAATAAAAAGTAAAAAGTATATTCTACATTCAAAGAGGATCTCCAGATACAATAACAAAGTAATGAATTTATTGCTTTATTTTCCCGTTGATCATACATTGCTAAGATTTCCTAGCTTAAAAGGTCACCACGACTAACTTAGGATAACACTATTAAGACACAAAAGATTCATGTGTTTCTCAAGTTTATTTATACAATGTCATAAACAAGTTCTCCATTATGAAGGTTGGTTAGATCACTTGATTTGACAAGATTCTCAAATGCACAGTATTTTAGCATTTTCAGCAAAGACATGTAGCTTGTATTGTTATATTTCCTATATCCTGCGATATCCATACCCTGCACTTGTATTTTACTTCGTCAAATTATTTACTTCACAGCCCTATGCTTGTGCCAGTCCTCAAATGCTTTACAAACATAAATAAAAGGGGCCTAAATATGCCCTTGTTTTCAAGTTCAGCCCAGTTATGGGACCATATCTCACCATGTTCTCTAACTTATCATTTTTAGCATCAGCAACAAGCTTTTTCTAGTTTGACAAGTATTGTTGAACTTTAACTGATCACTTTTCTTTTCCTGTGCTTTTGCTACTGAGGTTTTTGAATTTATATCAACGGAAGCTTTTATTTCAATTTCAATACTTAAAGATTTGGGTGGATGGTAATTGGTTCAAGGAAGAAGATGATATGCCGTAATCAAGCTATAATTGCGACTTGGAGGGCTAGAAACGATGCGAAGTTTAATGGTGGAAGGCTGAATCCTTATGTGACTCTCCATGGAGTCGTTGTTCTTGCCTGGACTATCAAGAGGCTCTTACATCTGAGGGATTTCGTGGAAGGAATGAAAACAAACCATGCCTGGTTAAATGGGGATTGCTTGAGGAATCATGGAACAGTTTAGGTAGTATATCTCAGATTGGAGGGTTAGGATATACATATTAAATCTTATTCTAGACATGTGATTTTTGCAGGATGCAAGCATAAGAGGGACATAACAAGTTTATTTAGTGAATCTGTAGCAATGAAGGAAGGCCTTGTTGCAGCAAGAAGTGTGGGGATTCAATGGTTGCAGGTGGAAACAGATGCTATGGCAGTGATCCACCTTGGATGATAGCAAATTGGATGTGACATTTAGGGATTACTATAATGTTTTTATGCAAAGCTTACACATATTCATAGATAAGAAACTGTGCAGCTCATTGGTTAGCCAATTATGCATCGATGAATAGTGTAGGCACTTTTTGGGAAAATGGCTTTCCTCCATATTTCAATGTTTTGCTCTCCTCAGATAGGAGGGATGTGTGTATGCATTTCAATCATTAATAATAGTTTTCTTTTTTGGAAAGAAAGCAAACACATATAACGAAAGAACATTCAAATTACCACACATCACAATATATACTTAAGCAACAGAGTCCTACCATGCAACGCACAAGGGCCCAATTGATGCCACGGAAAAATGGGTGCTTCTTAACTTCATTAGCTCCATGACATGAACCCAACCTGTTTCTAGGATCCCTATGCAACAATCGATATATCAACTGTTTTGCAGGAAGGCTTACCTGCTAAAAGAAATGAGGTCAGCACTGTATGAACCACTAAGCAAAGTAACTTGGTGTATGGATATCAAATTGCCATGATAATAAGTACTTTCTTTGAAAAACTAATAGAGATCAGAAAAGAAAGAAATAAAGATCCAAAATGATAAAACAACTGAGCATTGATAAATAAACATATTGCCAAAACATTCCTTATTATTGGCCAATCACCTTATGTATCAGTATGTCACTTAAAGTCAGCACAAATGACTAGAAAGCAAACAATCTATATATTGCGAAAAAAGCAGTCAGCATTGTATGGATCACTTAGCAAAGTAACTTGGAATACAGATAACCAAGTTGCCAATATAACACGTACTTTCTGTAACAAATGTACAGATACCATAAATAACTGAGCATTATTAAATAAATAGATTGCAAAGACATTCCTTATCATTAGCCAATCACCTTATGTATGACATTTAAAGTCAGCACAAATGACTCTAAAGGAAGCAATCTATACAATATATGCTGTAAGAAAGGGATCCTTGAAGCTGGAAGTGATTGGTACAGACATGACACTTCTTTAGGTATGAGAAAAAAAAAAGTAACATTACATTCATGCATTAAAATTTAGGACATTCCAATACTGGTTGATGGCCAGACCTGCATGGTACCAATACAATATAGTGTCAATACAGGTAGAAGTTGGACCAATGGATAGAGAGAGAGAGGGAGGAGGGAGAGAGAAGAGAGGAGGACGAATGGTGCCATGTGGCAGAAGAGAGGTGTCATGACATGGAAGTGCAGTGGAGGAGGAGTTGGAGCTGTGACATCAACCAGGAGGAGGCAGCAACACAGCAGGGAAGAAGAAGAAAAAGGTAAAAAAAAGAAAGTTGGGTACCACAGGTGCAAGTACTAAACAGTAGGCTTATCACCTGGTATCGTTGGGTAAGATTAGCTTACCATCTGAGAAGTCTGGTGTGGTAAGCTTCCTGGGCAGTTTGTCCAACTTCAGACTGGACCCAGTGAAATTGTCTCATCCACATATCAGTTTGTCATTACTAGCAAAAACCAGATCATATCGACCAGTATAGTCAAGATTTGAATCCACAGTTGCATTATACTTGCTGCATGGATGCTTAGTCTTAACTCTTAACCATGTCAGCTAATGGGACCATCCACAGGCTTCATTTCAAACAAGGCTGGAATTTGCAAGCCAGGTTATTAATATCACCACATCAGAAAAATTAAATTCGAAACAAAATAAACAAAACTTGATCAAATATACCAATCCCAAGTTTCCTTCCTCAACTAATGCCACAACAAACAACGGAACTTATTGGGATCGTAGATCTATATCTATATATGGTGTATAAGTCATAATGCTCAATATCTGCTGACATGTGCCAAAGGTGCCAATGCACGTGCTGGTCAGGACATGGACATCCATGCCAACTAGCAAGATATGATTATGTTGTGCTAAAAAAATAATGGAACATTCCTGAGCCACATAATGTCAATCTTTGCTCAATATTGCCTATGGTACACTGAAATCAGTAAGGGTCCCAAGGAAACAAAAAATTCTGCAAGAAAATATACACACACTTGTTTCACCTCACATATGAATATTCATGCATGAAAAACAAAACATCTGCTATTACAAATATAACCAACTATGCATAATGCACACTGTTAAGCCTCTAATTTGAATAAATACATTTTATTTTATTTTTAAATAAATACTTGAATGTGATCAAAAGACTCACCGATATACTGCC